TGTACCAAATCAAACAAATATTAGTTTTCGCGTGTGGATATGTGTAAATTAAGATCTATCACGTCTTCAGAAGTTTTTTTAGTGATATTGTAATTAACGTGAAACATCTGGGACAAGAATTTGTATCGAGTAGCTGTGTTGCTGTGGTGTCGCGTTTTTCATTTCGCTTGTTTTTGGTGCTTTGCCTCCCTCCCAAGAAGAGTTTTACCGGGTATTTTTCTTTTCTTTTCTTGGTGCTGGCGTTCTGCCTTCCGGAGCATGGTGGGTATATAAATGGTGATACAGCTTTGTCACTATATAGGCGAGGAGGTCGCGGGGGGGGGGGGGAAAGTGCGGTTTTAGAGCAAATTGTAAACAAACTCGGTCGCTGTCCCATACAAAAATCCAACATGGCTGAATCATGAATTTGACACATTAGAACACCTATATATAGTCACCTTGTTCCGGAGGATGCACGCGAATGAGGTGTCAAGAAAAAAATTCGGTGCAAATGAAAAACTTCGAATGTGATTCAAAATGTCGTGTTGGGTTGTAAAAACAACGCGGAAGATTTTTTCGATTACCGCGAGTGAACAAACCGGTCCTTTTTGGGAAGCAGAATTTGGTGAGATCCATCTGATTTATAATCAATCATAAATGCATATTTCCCATTTCCATAAATTACTAAATACGCGCCAGATTTCGAAACGTCACATTTTGAAATCTGGAAGTGTGTTTGCAGTACCATTATTCATATGATAACGGTAGTGTTTACATGCGGGGCTTATTGTATGTTAAAGTAACCTCGAAATGGACGTAAATTACCAGGCATTCTGAAATGGGTTGCTGAATCTGGAGTAGAGCTATAAATTATTACATCAAGGATTGTTGTAAGCAAATTTCTTCCATAATACCACTGCCGGCCAGTGGGGGTTAGATTGAATACACACACACACAATCAGTCTGGGCTCTCATGGAACGTTCCTGCAAACGATCTTCCTAGCATTGATGTTCTTCGCTCGAACATGCCCGCATCCTGCTGTGCTCTCCTTGGTGGTTTCAACCTGCATGGCTTAACGCAAATCAACTCGATACTGAATAGCAACTCTCGGCTGCTTCTACATGACTGGAATGTTCTATCCTAGAAGCCCCAGAGCCTTTGATTGGCATCGACACCAATCATCCTGCGTTGGAAGTTTCCATCAACCTATCTGTTCCTGTTCGCTACGATAACCCTCCTGTAGATGTACATGAGCTCGACTTTCGTAGAGCAGATTTCGTCGCGCTGAGTCACTCGCTTGCCCAGGCAGATTGGCAGTTCCTTGACACGTGTTCATCTATTGATGAAGCCGTCAACTACTTCGCTGAGGTCGTTGGCCGGGCAATAACTGATTCTGTCCCATTGAGGAGACCCTCTCCCAAACCCGCATGGTCCAATGCTCGACTACGGAGTTTAAAGCGTCTGAGATCGTAGGCCCTCCGTAAATAGTGCCGTACTCGTAACCCATTCACCAAACGATTATTTTCAACAGTAATTTACAGCTTAATCCAAAGCAGTTCTGGTCATTCGTGAATACCAAACGAAAAGAGGAGGGGCTACCAGTCGAAATTCACCTGGGTGATAGAATCGCCAGCAATTCCATTGAGAATTGTAATCTTCTGGCAGAACATTTCAAAAGCATTTTCAATGACACTACGGCTTCGTTGTCCCAAGTTGCTGAAGCGGTGAGGGACACTCCCAGTGATGCTTTCAAGTTTTCGATTACCTCAGTTACAGTAGACCTCGTCGAATCCGCCATCAAGAAGCTGAAATTTCTAATGCTGCTGGCCCTGACGGGATCCCCTCAAGCATCCTGAAGCGATGTTGTTCAGAGCTTACAACACCGCTTTCGAAGCTGTTCAATATTTCATTACAGCAGGGGGAGTTCCCTACGCGTTGGAAATCGTCATTCATGTTCCCGATTTACAAAAAAGGAGACAAGAGGAACGTCAAAAATTACCGAGGGATCACATCACTTAGTGTCTGCTCTAAAGTTTTCGAAATCATCATCAACGACGCATTATTCTCTAGCTGCAGAAATTACATTTCTCCTGACCAACACGGTTTTTATCCCAAGAGATCAGTTTCAACAAATCTAGCTCCGTTCATTTATTTGTGTCTTCGAAGTATGGAAGCTTGAGCGCAGGTGGACGTTGTATATACAGATCTTAAGGCTGCATTCGACCGGGTTGACCACTCCATACTGCTAGCTAAACTTGAAAAACTCGGTGTATCCTCGGGTTTAACTCGTTGGTTCAAGTCCTATCTGACCAATCGGGAACTTTGTGTTAGAATCGGATCAGAGAAAATGTAATATTATCTCATTTCATCACAAGCTGAAACCAGTGGCATTCAACTATACGATAAATCATACACGAAACGAAAATCAATTATTTAATTCATGTGTTTCACTTATACATTTTTGCCAAAGCATCAGCCTTATACATTCCATAAAACAAACCACATAGGTCCTATAAGAATGCATAAAAGGTATGTGTGACCGCTTATACATTTCATTTGACACATGATCTTTATTAACTTTTTGCAAGGCGTCTGCTTATTAGTTGACTTATACATTTTATGAATAATCAGCAATGGAAATTTGCCAAAAGGTATAAGGAGATTTCTATCCGTGTAAACTTCTGCAACGTGTGGACAATGTTTGTGACTTAGGAATCACGCTGGACTGCGCCTTAACATTCAAGCTTCATTACTCGGGCATCGTTGCGAAAGCTAACAGGCAACTCGGGTCCATTCTCAAGATCGCTGACGAGTTTCGCGATACTGCCTGTCTAAAAGTTTGGATAGCGAGGATTGAATCTGTTCAAAGGAAATTTGTTCGGTATACCTTTCGTCACCTTCCTTGGAATGACCCTGTGGACCTTCCGCCATACGAAGATCGTTATCAACTCCTGGGTCTTGAAACACTAGGACATAGGCGGACGATTAGTCAGGCCGTGTTCGCAGCGAAAGTACTTATTGCTGATATCGACTCTCCAGGAATTTTGGCTGAATTCGAAATCTACGCACCCGCACGAGTTCTTCGGTCGAGGAGTTTCCTGCATCTTGGACCTCGTGCTGCGAACTACAGCTTGCATGACCCAATACGGTTCATGTCTGGGCGTTTCAACGAGTTTTACGAGTTTTTCGACTTTAACTGTGCAGCGGAAACCTTTCGTCACCGTATTCAAACCAGACTCCTGAGAAGGTGAGTAGCTGTCCATTTAATGTACACGTGAAGGATTGTGCTACCTGTTTATTTTTTGTTTCCGGTTCATCTGCATGACGTGGACTTCTACCTGATTGACGGACAACTCTATGCCATAGGAGGATAACTTTTTTTATGCTATACACACTTAGAAATTATCGCCGACTTCGGTAATTTTTACCGAAAACTGAACAGCTGAGCTTTTCGGTAAAATTTATGCAATTCAATTCAATTGCTTTTCAGCTACTTTGAAACTAAATCTCCACCAAAATGACAATATTTGATCATTTAAACAAGGTTGACATGTTAAGGTTAACATGTTTTGAAATTATTTTCACATTCAGCCTTTAAAATGAAGGTCAAAGTTTTACCAAACGTTCAGCTGTTCTGATTTCGGTAAAATTTACCGAACACGAAAACAAAATGTGTAGACTTGATTAATGTTTGTTGTAATTGTATTGTATTATTGTGATTCATGTATTTCGAAAAGATAAGGGGTTTTTACGCCTTTCCTAGGCTTTTCCCAATCAGGCTTCATTTAGACACGTTAAGTCCGATGAAGAAAAACAAATTAAATAAAAATAAATCAAAGTAAAATATATCATGGTCAGATCAAAATTTATAGAGGAAACTATTGTATGGAATCTAAAATATGTACATTGGAACGAAAAAACAGACAGATTACTTCTACTGTATTTTAAATCAATATCAAGAAAAATGCACGAGAAGTTCACAAACCGCTCAACGTAGCCTATGTCAACCATGCGGTCGTGTCTTGAACACTTTTTTTTTTAATTTGTACACATTGTTGTAGCGACATAATTAAAATCACATAATATGATGCCTTTTTATTAGACCGAGGTTTGGAACCTCTACCCTATGTTCTGAGAATCTGAACCCTGACCAGAGAAAGACTGCTCCATTAATCTCACTTTGTTCACTGCCCATCAGTGCAATCTGTGGAGCATATCAGGCATAACATTTGATAACGGCACAAAAGCATTTGTAAACAAACTTTCTAAGGCCCTTTACACGCCAACCAAAGTACGCCCACGCAAACCAATACCACTTTCGGAAAGGTGGTGGTTGCCCCTAACCGATGATGTTGTTGGTTTGCTTGAGCATACTTCGGTTCGCGTTTAAAAGGCCTTAAAAAGTTTGTTTACAAAAACTTTTGTGCCGTTATCAAATGTTACGCTTGATATATACTGTTCATCGTAGTCGAGGGTTGGGCTTCACAAGTAGTCCCACCCAACTCAGTCTCATCTCGAGAATCAAGCAGTGAACATCTTCCTCTTTCAGTCCTCAACCTCCATCCGTTCGGATAGGCGCTCACAAGCGTGGTCTTGCCGCCGTGCGTAAAATTTGTGAACGCGATCCGATCGATTTGCTTTGGTGTGAAAAGTGTATATTTTAAAGCCAAATTAAAACGTCTCTTGCAAAAATTATCAAGCGCGTGTAAGCCAGTATCCCCTCAACCAGGAGAATATATACGATCTGAAGCAATAAAACTATCTGTGATAAACGATAATCAGTATTCTGCGGTAACCGGTTCTTAGTCGGCTAGCAGCAGCAGCTAGCGTCGCGACTCATTTACATTTACCCATCGAGCTTCTTCACACCCGCACTCTTTAGGCGGGTAGTTCCGGTTTCAGTATAGATCTATTGCGCTCAGTGTACCAAAGTCGCAGCTTGCATACGGTTCAGTTTCGTCCAATTTGCAGCGGAAGTGCGTGGAAAATCGGTCGGCCGTTGATCGAGTTCAAGCTCGTGCCTCAGATGATCAAGATGCTGCCAATACGTTTTATTGTCACCGTTACGGTGATTTGCGGATTGTTTACTTTTTCCCTCGCCTTCGATGTTTCCAGTCGTCGTCTGAGAGAGGAGCTGTACGGTAAGTTTTGCGTTCCTCGGATAAACCTGAAGTTAAATCAAGCCGGTTCCAGCCGATAGGCGTTGATGATCTCGTTCATGAATGGATTTTAATTATCCTTGGTATCTTGGCAACAATAATGGGAATAGTTTTTGTTGTGAGTCATTCCGTGCGTAAATACAAAGCTAATGCAACTGCAACTTGAGGATGGAGGATAATGAACTCGTCTTTGGTGTAGTGCACAGCAAGAGGTGGTTCTGTTTGTTGAGTGCAACAGTGAGGATATATTCTTCTTCTTTTTAGATTATTTTACGAACGGTTTGCCGGCTCTTAATTTAGTGTTCCTTGAAGTACTTCCAGTTTTATTATTTAAGAGCTTTCTATTGCAACCATGCATTGGTAACACCGTAATACCGTGCCTTCTAACTAGGCTATCTGATGCCCCAATCTGAGTCAGGTTTTCTATCGCCTTAATTAAGTTTAAGTGTTATTCCTATAGGATAAATACCGGCTTCGTCAATACCTATTATCGTCGGACGGTACCGTGAACGTGAGTTATTCTGCTCCCTATTTTTAAATGCAACTATTTTTATCGTTTTAAATGATTAATGTAAAAATAAAATACGTGTACTCAAATATTGTTTGTTTGATCGGTATGTTGTGCTCAGCAAATCTGTAAAGCAATCAATTGTTTTGCAAAACGGCACTGAAAGCATAAAACGGCATGATCACAAAAAGGTAAATTTTTTACAAAGTTTCAACTAAGTCGTTAATAATCAATGACAAATAAAACAAACTGATGATAGACATCAAATAAAGAGTGCTTGATAATGTATAAGCAATATTTTGTGCTGATATAAACATATATTGGTTCAAAAGAGTATGTTCTTATTTTTATTTTGGTAGTTCAATTCATATATTTCAAGGAAAAAATGTTCGTTTATTCTTTTGGTTTGCCAAATCCGAACTGCCGTGCCTTCCGCTTAACCAACAATCAATACAAAACTAACGATTTTAAATTGGCTCACTACTTGACTAGCCTATTGGTCCCAAGCAAACGATTAACATATCCGATGTTTTGATTAGCTATGAAAGTTTGACAGATAAAATGAGGGGTTACCCCATAAAAAATCCTCCCGATTTTCCCTTCGACTAAATCGGTTCACGTCGGTAAGATTGACCGACTATGAAACCGACGTATTTATAAATTGTTGCATCGACTCTTATGGGACTGCTTAAAGGGAGGTTGCCGACGCGTCAGCACACGAAATCGGTAGTCGAAAACATAGGAAATCAGTCAATCAGAAGCGACCAAATCGAACGACTAGTAGGATGACAGAGTTGTAGCCGGGCTTCTATGAAACCAGACGAAATATACTGGTTGATCAGTTTATTAAATTATTGTTTCTACGATGAAAACAGATTAAGTCGACAAATAAATCAGCATACGCAATTGATGAAACCAAACGAAATAGAGTGGTTAATCGGTTCATTCAGTTGTTTGTACGATGGAAAAGATTAAGTCAACTGTTAAATCGGCTTATGAAATTGATGAAACCAGAGGAAGTACACTAATTAATCGGGTAATTAAATTGTTTCTTCTAATAAACCATACTAAATCGACAGATATAATTGAATAATGCATTGACAGACAACATTATTGATATCAAGTTCCGCTTATTTTACACGTTGCTGGGCGGTGAACAGGCGAATTTTAAAATTTAGTCTGACCGTTCCAGATTCACGAGTTATTTCAATACCGTTTGCTATCAAATCGTTGACTTCTGCTACAAAGTCAGCCAGAAAGTCATCAAAATTAGATGGTTCTTTCAGACCTGCATAGCACCCAACAACAAACGGAGAGATTTCGAACACGTTCGGGAATGCAGCTAGGATAGGCCATAAGCATTTTTTATAAGCATAGGCCATTTTTTGAAACGGGGAGACCATCGATATTGATGTCTAAATTTATCTCGCTCATTGTTGACACAATTGGATCACCATCCAAATTAGAAAACGTGTTTTCAATTCCAAAATGGACGTATTCACCAGGGTGAACTTTTTTAGGCAGTAAAGCACTTTGAGGAGTTTTCAACAAGGTCATACGACTTATCGGAACATCGAGACCTTCATCACGAAGTATTTCTAATAATGTTTTGATAGCTTCAACACTCAGGTTGTAACGTGACACGAAATATGCAAGTCGATATTTCAGTGGAACGTTAGATTTGAGATCTTTAAAGTTTTCTGCCTCGAATTCATCGTCTCGCTCTTTTTCATGCACGGTGTCACTGCTGCTAGGAGAAACAGAAAAAAACACTGCTTTAGTGCATTGTGGCTTTGATAGTTTGTATATAAATTAAAACATATTCTAGCACTCAGAATCATGAGGACCTAACTAATATGACAGATTTTCTTCATTGATTTTACCTTTGGGGTAAGTTGTATTTTTTTTTTTTTAAATTTTAATAATTTTTCCTTGCATTTTCCTGAACATTTTTCAATACAGTATCGTAAAAGGTTGTATTGGCTAACAAAAGCAACAGCAAATGCACCGAGAATTGTTCCAACACAAAGAAGACCGCCCCCCCTCCCTCCTGCATTCACTTATTAGATATTTGCATCCATTTTCTTGTCTTATATGTGGATAGGAATGGGCGTCTTATATCATGTCCAGATCCAAAATTCAGCAAATCTGTAAGTCAGTGGGTCCTTTCACTTATAAGACCAGGACCAGCTTCACTTATAAGACCTGTAGTTGGTGGGCTTCACTTTTAAGATTGATGCCAACCGATTATCGCAGTTAGGCCCTTATGATTCTGAACGCTAGATATGTTTATTATCTGACCACTGTCTACATTACTAGGATACCTCATAGAATCATTATGATGTATTCCATCCTTTTGCAGTATCTCAATCAAGGGCTCTCCATTTTCTTCAAAACTGCTTTCAATTCCGTCGTTCATGCTCCATTGTTCATGCTCCATTGAGGGCTGCAGATCATCATCGGAATCACTTTTCATATCTGATTCTTCCAGTCATTGGCGATATAACTTGTCGTATTCTTTGTGTTTAGCAGCTTTTTTTTACTACGCCAAGTACTCCACCTGTTTGCCATTGTATGCTTTCCTAAAAAACAAAAATATTAATACCAACTTACCAGGTTGTTATGAAATTTGATAATAAAGCTGCACTCACTTAGTCTCACTGTCACTATTTTATAATCACTACGTAAACCGACTTCGTCTGTATATTAATACGTACAATAAAATAATCACCGATCAAAAAACATACAATTTCCAGATTTTACACTAGATAAAATCTATGGCCGACGGTCCCGGCGGAATCCGATTAAATACACTAACGAATATGTTGACAAAAATAACTAGTGTACTAATCCCGACGTTGTCGGTTTATTAATAGGCCTTTTTTTGTATACAACCGATTTCGTCGGTCGACAGGGAAATTCCCCATCTGTCAAATTTTTTATGGGGTAGTGGATTTTCCAATGTTCAGAGGGGTGAATCGATTAGCTTGGGACCGAAGAGAGTACCAGAGCTGAGCCAAAAAGTTGAGCACGTTATTTCGGGACCTTCAAGTCTTAGAGTTACCTCTATGGCTTAACCCCTTCCATTAAATTTTGCACAGTGGTCTCATCGACCTTATTCGCCGCCGAACGCCAGGTAGATTTAAACTGCTGCTCGTTTTCCATGGATTTATTAGTTTTTTTGAGATTCCGTTTGACCAAGGCCCAATACCGTTCGATAAGGCGGAGCTCTGGGCTGTCGGGAGGGTTGTGGTCTTTGGGTACCACAACCACGTTGTTCGCATCGTATCACTCGATTGCCTTTTGACGTAGAACTACGTCTTTGTCGACTACACTGGGGTGCAAATCAAAAAATATGTGTGGTGAAGTAGTGTTAGGTTTTGAACGCTTGTAACTTAGTCATTTATAGATGAAATTAAAATCCAAATACGCCAATCGATAGGATATTACATTACAAACCTGCTGAAATAAATATTTTTCCAATTTTTCTAAAATAAAATTTTTGAAAAATGTATAAATAATAATTTTATCACTGTTTTCACTGTTGCACATTGTTCTGAAAAGATGTAAAACAGCACTGCTGTCGCGCTTCTGCTCATTACCGCTTCGGACGGCGTGGCTCTTGATCCTGCAGTAAGCAGGAACAAGTCAGTGGTAAAAGGTGACTTGGGTCCCGTTCAACTAAGTGGCTGTTCATTAACTACGAGGGGGGCAAGAATCCCAAAAAAATGTCTATGTAGTTAATGAACATCCCCTAATACGAAACGCGGAAAAGTTATTTATGGAAATACCCCTCCCTCCTATAACCAACCTAAAAAAAACATGAACTTTAACGATCACTTTTTTTCCGGGAAATAATCGTTAAGCAAAGTACAATGAAGTAAAAAAAGTTTAATTACGTTAATTGTTTTACCCAACTACTGCCCAGAGATCTTCGAATTTGAGAAAAAAATCGCTCATAATATTTTGATGTTATTCTGTGGGTGATTTACCACCAACTGACCGTAAAACATATCTGGTACCTCTATATATGCAATTAGATAAACATCCGTTAACGGCGCCGGTGGTGTAGTGGTAAGCGTGATTGCCTCTCACCCCAGCAGGCCTGGGTTCAATCCCAGTCGGCGCCGCCGGGATGTACTGAGGCATAACATCTCTTATCACGGGAAGTAAAGCCGTTGGTTCCCGGTTCATGAGTTGATGGGTCGATAAGTAGGGTCCAGGTGTGGGAGCTGCCTTCCTGGCACGTCGGTAGCATTGGTGCTCAGCACGGAAAACAACATCGACGGAAAAAACAAACCAAAGGAAAAAAAAAAGAAGAAAGTATTTTTTGTGCAGAATATGTAAAGAAGGAGGGGCGTCGGATGTTAACCCAAATGCATATACCGTGCATCATAGAGAAAGAAGCTTTATATACTGTTTCCAATTGGGTTCTCTAAGGGTATTGAGGTAAAGGCATATTCGTAATCTACAT